GAGGGCTGAGGAAGCCCAGCTCAATCTAGACCGTAAGAAGAAAGACGCAAGATGGGAGTTTCAGTGAACTACATACACCACAGTGTTTATTAACTCCAGATTAGTGTGATAGGCACAACGCTGCATCCATGGGATATCTTCCCCAAACTCTAAGCTTGTTCTTTCAGCTTCTTCAGCAGCTCCCTGAGCTGCTCGATCTGGGCAGTCACGCTGCTTTTGGCGGTACCGCCCAGGGCCGTGTACTGCTCCACGCTGTTGACAACGTTGAAGACCTGGGAGACGTCGCTGCCAAACAGGGGGCTGGGGAGGCAAAGAGAAGAGGTGTCAGTGAAGAGTGCTGGCTGCTCTTGGCTGGCTTGACATGCTCACTGCCTGCAGTGAGGGCGAGAGAGTGGAGATGGAGCCTTTCTCCAAGGGGAAAGAGCTCCTGCAGCCCTGCTTCTGCACTTCTAGTGCCTGACAGTAGCTGCTTGGGGCAGACCAAAGAGTCCGCTCCAAGGGGACAGCAAGAAAGTTTGGAGCCAAACTCCTCTGGAGGGCTGGTACCTCCACATCAGGGCATGAGTTGCTCCAGTCCCTCCCAAAAGCCGCTGCCTGTGCCCCACTGGAGCGGAATGATAGGCATGTTGTCTCTCTGCAGTTATTTCGGGCCCAGCAGTGGCAGCATTGATACTCAGGCCAGGAGGATTTTGGGGTGCTGTCTGGCCCAGGCATTTTGGGGAAGGGTACCATAAGGAGGCCTAGACATGCCAGTTGAAGGGGGTCATGGAAAAATAGCAGTGATACGAACCTGATGCTCTTCAGGTCATCCAGGCTGAGATTATTGATGGTGATGCCTTTAGACTCGGCGAGGTGGACGGCCTTCCCAGAGGCAGTGTGGGCTTGTCTGAATGGCATCTGTAGTGAGAAGCAGAGGCCACAGTCAGTGACTAGGCAACTGGGGTGCAGCCTCAAAGGAAAAAAAATGGATGTGCTGTCTTTTTTTCGTTGGCTTGTTTTC